ACAAGGAATTTCTTAAACCAGTGATGTATTATTTAGTTCTAAAAAGAGGTATTTTGTGCATGGCTGATGTTCTTGATCAGGCCCTTGGTCATTATGAGCCAGTCTCCTCAGCCTCTCCTTTTATTAAGTCTTTCATAGTTGTATAACAGTTTCCTTCCATTCTGCAAGAAGCTCCTTAAGCAGGAAGGTCAACAACTCAAAGTAGCTTCAGGAAGTTCCTGAAACTGATCAGATTCACTAGGCTCCTCCCTGCCAGAGAAGGAATAAAAGCTCAGAGAAGACTCTGAGACCAGACCAGCTACCTGAAGAAGCAGAAACCAGCTGAGCTGCCCAAAAGAGGCTTAGACTAACTATGGCAACCTAGAAAGGACACGCTCCAACCTGTTGAGCTGCCTGCAGGTTCTGCAGTGTGCTCTGGCTTCCCAGCTTTTGTGAGCTGTCATCCCCGATGGGGCTGTCTTTTGAGTCACATCATGAAGGGACACTAGCCCACTTTAGCATGTGGCTCTGGCAGGCCTTTCTCTTCCCTTCCATTCCCTTTGCCTTGCCAAAAACCATTAGATTGCATTCTTAAAGCTATCCACAGCGTCTATTCCCTTCTTTGGCCACTTCTTCCTCTTGAGGCTGACTACCAAGGCCCAGCTATCAAAGTATTGAAGCCCAGCAATCAGAAGCCCCCTTTGGCTCAGCTAGTTATCATGTTCAAATAAATTAAACACCTTATCCTAACACAGGGTTTCCCATTTTACCTTTATAAACCACCACATCTGTTTTCCTGTCTATCCTTTGGGACAAATACCCTTGCCAACCCTCCCCCTTCTCCCTTTTTCTCTTTACCACCACATTCTAGCCTGTTCTAACACAGACTTCACCTTTCCCCCCACCCCTATTCAAAACTGACACCTGCAAGGTCATTTGCTGCTGTTTTCTGACTGAGTCAGAAAGCAGCCACTTGAACTTCTCTTCCCTACTTAATAAAGGATCTCTCTGGGGAAACAGGGGTTTGGGTGTGGTTTGTGCCTAACCTGGGTCTGGGAGGGAGCCCCCAGTACGCAAGAATCCCCTTCACATCTGCTCCTCTATCCATACCGTGGTCTGTCCTGGGATCCCTACCTGGACAAGTAGACGTGTATATGTTGTGTCTCCCAGGAAACGTTTTGTTTCACAGTAATAGCACTGATAGATGTTTTTTGAGATGGCACTCTTGTAACCCAGATGGCCCCCAGTTTACAATGTAACCGATACCTGTAATCCCAGTTCTTGGGAAGCAGAAGCTGGAGACCAAGATCATCTTAGCTTCATGAGACTGTCTCAAAAAGAAAAACAATTTTCAAAGGGTATTTACTCTTCCAAATTCAACTTGCTTTTTTTTCCCTCACCTTTCCATTTTTGACTGGAGTTTCTATGAGAACATTCTTTTTTCCTCCCAAGCATAGTTTGCTCCACCAGGGCTAATAGTTCACAAGTTTTCCCTATCAAGGGAAAACCTTCATGAAAGGAATTAAAATCTTTTAATCTCCTCCACTTTGCAAAACTTTTATGTACATTTTTAATCCCCCCACCACCACCATACACACCTTGCTAAACCTTTATTTACATGGGTCTAAGGCAGCCCATCCCTTCCCCTTTTTCTTTGATGTCCTTTATCTAAATTAAAAAACAAAAACAAACAAACAAACAAAAAACTAGCCAGTCTTCAAAGTGTGAGATCAGACCCCAGCCAAAGGGAGAAACAACATCACAACCTGCATTAAAATAAAAACCAAATGAGGCTGGGGTTGCTGAAGCGCCCTTAATCACAGCTCTCAGAAGGCAGAGGCAGGTTACCTCCTCTCTCTTGTGAGTTTAGGGCAGCTCCATGGGGAGTTCCAGGCCAACCAGAGCTACATAGTAAAACATTGTTTCAAAACAATCAAAAACGCAAACAGAACAAAACCAAGTAAACCTCCTGCCTCAGACTTTACTTTTGTATGTGTGTGATTCTTTGTGTGATGCCAAGAATATTTGTTTGCAACAACTAGAAGTTAAGTATGAGTCCTTTCAAGAACTTCCTTACAGTGTGATTTCACACACACACACTTACTTTTGTATGTGTGTGATTCTTTGTGTGATGCCAAGAATATTTGTTTGCAACAACTAGAAGTTAAGTATGAGTCCTTTCAAGAACTTCCTTACAGTGTGATTTCACACACACACACACACACACACACACACACACACACACCATCTCATGAACTCTTCTGGTCGTTTTAAAGCCTCACTAGCATTCTGTAGATCACAATGTAAAGACTGTCAATGAAAACAAAATTAAATTATATTTAATATGTGTGTGTAAGTTAGAGGTCAGAGAAGAAACCTGTAGAAGCCAGGTCTGAGTCCACCCCCCCCCCCCATTAAACTATTCTCAGGGTTGGCCTCAGTCACCCTCTGCCCTGAGGCATCTCATCAACCATCAGAGCGTGGATTCAACAAGCTAACCAGCTTATATGGTAAACGAACACACAAGCCTTTTCCAGTTTTCATTGAAATTCCCTCAGATTTCTGGAAGTGTTTTCTTTTGGTGCCAGCAGAAGTTATAGAGCACAGCTTTTTACGATGTATACAAGACCTGGTTACAAAAGTCTCCTTTGTTTAAATGCTCTAACCAGGGGGAAGACACGGGCCAGGAGAGTAACAATGAGGAGGACTTGTTCATCCTGATAGGGAAGGGGTAGGATTTGTGGTAGAAATTCAGACAGAAATTAGGAGGAGAACTGTATTTGAGACACAGAAAAAGAATGTACAAGCATGTTGTTGAATAAAATTTATAGAAGACTTTTATTTTAGACAAGGCCCTGGCACTAGGTTCCAACAAACATAGCAAACCAGAGACACTCCCTGCTAAAGGCCTGTGCCACCAAACCCCAACTGTCTCTAACTGTCTCTGTCTCCACTTCTATAGGGAAAGTGGCTTTGAAATGCCCACTTTCCCCATTTTTTTTTCCTTTGAAACACTTTGGGTCTGCCTGCTCCCACCTTTGGTATTACAGACATGTAGACACGTAGGAATGGATTTTTTTTTTTTTTTAAAGTTCATCCATTCATTTACATTCAGTTATCAGTAAAATTTGTTTTAGGTGCTAAGGGTATAAAAATTAAGATAGTGTTCCTAGGGCAGAAGAGGCAGGAGGATGGCTACAAGTTTGAGGTCAGTCAGGTTTACATGGCTAAATTCCAGGGCATCCAGGCTACATAGTGACACCCTGTATCACACACACACACACCACACCAACAAAAACAACTATGCATGGTAGTTCTGCCTGTAACCATACAAATTGGCAGTCTGAGGTTGTTTCAATGCCTAGCTGTATCAAACACCTGTTAACCTCAGCAGCTGGAAGTTAGCCCCAGAAGAATCTAGCTTGGTCTACAGAGAAAGTTCCTGGCCATCGCCATCACAGAATGTTTTATTATAATTTTCATCAAATCTCTCTCTCTCTCTCTCTCTCTGTGTGTGTGTGTGTGTGTGTGTGTGTGTGTGTGTGTGTGTGTGTGTCCTGGGACTGAACTCAAGTCCGGTGCCCCCCCCCCAAACAGTGATTGATTACTGCGAATCCTACTCTACAGGCCCAGTATACCTCTTCTAGTACTTTGTCTCCTTTACTAAGCTGTGATTATTTTACCTATTTATTTTGATACAGTATCTTGTTATGCAGCCCCAGTTTGCTTTCAACTCCAAATCTTTCCATCTCTGCCTCCAAGTGCTGGGATTACATGTGTGTACCCCCGCACTTCCAGCAATCTGAGGGCCGGAGAAGTGAGGACTCTTCTATGACTGCAGCAATCTATTGGAAGGAGGTGAGAGCAATCTATTTTACACACACACACACACACACACACACACACACACACACACACACACTCATATTCAAGACAGGGTTTCTCAGTGTAGCCCTGGCTATCCTGAAACTCAGGCCAGACTGGCCTTAACTCTGCCTCTGAGTGCTGGGATTAAAAGGTGTGTGCCACCACCTCCAGGCCTTTTAGAAAATAAAAATATTTGTAATGACTTACCAGCATGGAACATCTTTCAGCCTGTTTCTTGGAAGAAGGTTCGAGCTTTAATTATAGACATTCACTTGCCTTGCCTGAAATAAGTCCCTGGAATTAAAACTTCGAAATCTTTTAATAAAATTGGTTCCATCTAGAAGTCAAGTTTGTCACTTGCAAGACAGAAAAGTTAAGATTCTCAATTCTAAATCAGCCTATCCTATTCAAAATTCAAGCCTGGCATGGCGACGCATGCCTGTAATATAAGCTGTTGAGAAGCGGCACCAAGAATCAGGAGTTCAGGGCCAGCCTTAATTACACTGCATGGGCTAGGCTATAGCCTGGTTCAAAAAAAAAAAGAATATCAATGGAAAAACAAAACAAAACAACACCACCCTCAGAATTCCACATACTGCATTCACCCATAAATTATGTGCTCTGCACAATCCTGGTAGGTGTTAAAAATCATTTAAGAAATTTTACACTCAAGTTCACATAAGGTAAATATGTGATGAGTGGCAGTCTGGTTTGACTTTGTAGGCGACTGGCTTTTTTTTTTTTTTTTTTTTTTTTCAGACTACAGCTGTGTGGGCGAGCACATGCCCAGGTTCTGTCCTGAAAATCTACATTTTTCTAATCTTGCCACCACTGGTCAATTGGCACGTGGCTTTCCGGACATCAACCATCCGAGACAACGCTGAAATTAGCTGCTAATTAATGACGCGAGTCGGACGATCCCGGTTGCTCGCGGATCTTTACCTCCATTCATCACGCCCCAGTTCATTCACAGCCAATAAAACCTGCGACTCCTGGGTCACCAGCCTAGCCTAGGACCGCGCTGTTCTTACAGCTGCCCCCGGGGGGAGTGGGGGGAGCCACCGGCCGGAGACCGGGAGGCGTGGCTTCGAGGAAGAGCTCCGGGCTGCGCGCGCGCGCGGCGCGAGCCCCCGTGAACGCGCGGAGCGGGGAGCGCGCCAGGGGAGGGGCGCGCGGGGCGCAGGGCGCGCGCGGCGGCCGCTGCGGCCTGTTGGCGCGGTCGCCGGCAGCCTCGAGCGAGTCGAGCTAGGGGCCGTGGCGGCTGTGACTGGCGGGGAGCGCGTGTCCGGATCAGTTCCCTAGTGGCCCGCGACCATGTCCCTGGGGCAGCGGCTGGCGCTGCTGGCTGTCCGTCTGCAGGAGCCGCAGCGGGTGGCGAGCTTCCAGCGTTTGTGCGGAGTGGAGGCGCCGCTCGGCAAGCCGGCGGAGGGCGAGGATGCCGAGAGCGAGGTTCGCGGGGCGGCGGGGAACCCTCGGCGACGGGGACAGCAGCCGGGCGTGGAGCGCAGCCCTGGCCCCGCCAAGCCCGACTGCTGCGGCGCCCCCAACGGCGTACGCAACGGGCTGGCTTCCGAGCCGGGCCCAACCGGGCCCCGCCGCGCGGGCTCTCTGCGCCGCAACTCGCTGACGGGCGAGGAGGGCGAGCCGGTCAGGGTGAGCAACTGGCCGCTCTACTACCTGTTCTGCTTCGGCACCGAGCTGGGCAATGAGCTCTTCTACATCTTCTTCTTCCCTTTCTGGATCTGGAACCTCGACCCTTTTGTGGGCCGGAGGCTGGTGATCATCTGGGTGCTGGTCATGTACCTGGGCCAGTGCACCAAGGATATCATCCGCTGGCCGCGGCCGGCCTCGCCTCCCGTTGCCAAGCTAGAGGTTTTCTACAACTCAGAGTACAGCATGCCCTCCACGCATGCCATGTCCGGCACCGCCATCCCCATCGCCATGGTCCTGCTCACCTACGGCCGCTGGCAGGTACGCTGCGCCCCTCGGCTCAGACGAGTTCCCAAAGCTCCCTGCGCTTGTTTTAATTTGCCTCTCCTAGTCCTAAACCCCTGCCCAGCGGTTCGCACAGTACCCACAAGCAGGCCTTGTCATAGTTCTAGAAAATTAAGTGATGGAGGAAATCTAGGGACTTAACCACTAAGCTGTATTAATACAGTTAAACATAGTTTCTTAGACACCGCTGCCTCCAGGAAACACTTTCCATGTCGTCGTGCATTTCCTTCAGCTTTGACTGAGTTTTTAAACTTAGTTCCTCTGATGCGTAATGGTGATGCTTTTTCCCTAAAACGAAACACTTAGTAACCAAGACTCAGTCTCACTGCAAAACGTGTTGTTTCCGATGTAAAGTCGTTAGCTTTCTTGCTAGAACAGCAGTGTAATTCCCACACAGGCACATTCCAGCAGTCAAGCATGAGAGTTAAAGAAAAGCCGAAAGGGAATGGAGCAGAGTCTAGGTGAGTTCATTTTTAAAGGATTGACCATTGATTTCTTGAGAGGCAGACTTCACCTCTCTCTCTCCCTCCCTCCCTCCCTCCCTCCCTCCCTCCCTCCCTCCCTCCCTCCCTCTCTCTCTCTCTCTCTCTCTCTCTCACACACATTTGGAGAACCAGTTGCTAATTGCTACACTGTTACTGTGGCGGTAACTGTAACCATGCACGGTTTTTGCAGTAGGAGGAGTTGGGTTGATTATAATTATATATGACAGCAGGAGCAACTTGACCATTAAGGGTTTGTTAATGGTTGTCATTTTTATTTTGCCTGCTTCCTTTGGCTTCCCTATTTTGAGCTCCCTAGGGTGTGCAAGTGATACTTGAATTTAAAAGTCTAATTATCTTTCACATAGAAGCAAACTGTGTTAGACTATTGGCCTTGCTTTATCTTAACTTGTATGTTTTGTTAGTCTTTCGGGCCTAATCTCTAAGAATAAAGTACACAGTTCTGGAGAATCTGGGGAAATTCATTTCCTCTTTTAACCTTTCATCGCACAAAATTGAGAAATGCCAACTGTATTGTAAAACTCCATTATAGGCTTACTTAGCCTATAATGAGTTTCAGTATGGGTAAATCTTATCTGTGAATTCCCCGCCCCTCCCCCCTCTACTGTGCAGTGCATCTCTTTTATAGTAACAGAAAACAGGCATACACCCAGGAAAAATGACGGAATTAGGAGGGGAGACTAACATAGAAAGTTCTTTCCTACTTAATCCCTGGTGATACTTAGTGACATTTAGATTGCAAAGCAGTGCTGACTGTTTTGGGTGAAAAAAAAATCTAAAAATTGAGATTGTTAGTGTGTTTGGCATGTTTTTTTTTTTTTTTTTTTTTTTTTTTTTTTTTTTACGTGCCTATATGCTACTGTTTGCCTTTCTACTGCCTCCTCCCTGAGTAATCTTGCTGTTAATATTGCCATCAAAGAGCAAGAGCTGATGGTTGCATTTTGCTCATCATAGTCAGGACACATGCTAACAGGAAGTCTGAAAATAGTATCGCTGAATTGTTTATGGAGTGTCGCTATCAATATTCTAACATTTCAAGGCCATTTGAATAATCAGCCTAAGCTTATATTCGTGTGTGTGTGTGTGTGTGTGTGTGTGTGTGTGTGTGTGTGTGTGTGTAAGCAGGGTAGTCCTGTAGCACTGGCTGGCCTGGAATAGACTATGTAGATCAGGCTGGCCTCATGGGACCTATGTGCCTGTCTCTGTCTCCCCAGTGCAGAGATTTCACACAACTACTATATTTAATTAAACATTTGTATATCACACAGGCTTTGAAATTGCAGCTAGACAGGGTGATAGAAATCTTCTAGTTTCAAATAGAGCTCTAGCCACCACTGTATGTAAATAGATTTTACTATATTTCGAGCATTTCATACCAGTGTGCTATGTAGCCTGTTGTGACTGGCTTTTTTCACTTAGCATTTTTAAGATTCTTTTAACAGTTTCATACATGAGTATACATATTTTACAGTTCACCTCCCTAGCAGCTTTTTAAAGTTCATATTGTCTATAGGACTTCTTTTTTATTGGTGAACAGTGTTTTGTTAAATGTATGTATGCGTCTACTTATTCTTCTGTCAGTTGGTGGCCATTCAGATGTTTGTTCACTGACTGACTGACTGACTGACTGACTGATTGATTGATTGATTGATTGTGTACCCTAGCCGGCCTGGAACTCAGTATAGAGGATGCCACTCCTAAACCTATAATTTTCTTACATAAGCCTCCCAAGTGCTATGATTACAGGCAGGCATGTGTCACTATGCTTGGGTGGGTTTATTTTTTTAAATGATTTATTTTATTGCATGTGTGTTTACATGTGTGTATGCAGGTGGCATGGCAGTCAGAAAGGGGCATCAGATCCCCTGGAGTTGGAGTTATAGTTTTAGGCATCTATGAACCGTGGTGTTAATAAAGATTCTGGGACCCAAACTCTTGTCCTCTGATAGTGCAATAAGTGCTCTTAACTGCTGAGCCATTTTTTCCAGTGCCATTTTGGTTGTTTTGAGGAATGCTGCTTCTAATAATTTTATACAAGTTTTTGCATTGATGTACACTTTCATTGTTTGTTTGTTTTGAGACAGGGTTTCTCTTTATAGCTTTGTAGACCAGGCTGGCCTACAACTCACAGAGATCCGCCTGCCTCTGCCTCTCAAGTACTGGGATTAAAGGCATGAGCCACACTGCCTCCCCACTCTATAGATAAACATGATAAAAATGTTACAAACCAAAATCATCATCATTCTTATTATTGGTACTAGGAACTGGGCTATTTAATTAACCTTTCATTGGTTTTATTTGAGAAATGAACCTGGTACAATTTTTTTTTTTCATTTATTTGTAATGCCACATCTGTTGCTAGTCAAGTTCAGTGGCGTGTGTGGTTTTGATTCTAGGTTCCTGTCCTATATCACGGGTGAATTTGTCTATTTCTTTGTCAGCCCTATCATCTTACTTCCTTTCATTGTTTAGATCAAACCCTGATACCTAGTCAAGTAAAGTATCTTATCTGCCTACTTTTAGGTTTGTTGTGGCTAATTTGAATCTTTGCTTTCCAATTTATTTTGTTTGTTTCATGGTACTGAGTGTTGAGACTAGGACTTTTGGCTGGGTCCATTTAGTGTTGCACATATGTGTATTTTTTTTTTTTTTCAAGACAGGTTTTCCCTGTGTAGCTTTGGAGCCTGTCCTGGAACTCTCTCTGTAGACCAGGCTGGCCTCGAACTCACAGATTAGCCTGCCTCTACCTCCTGAGTGCTAGGATAAAAGGCACATACCACCAACACCTGGGTTCTCAGGATATGTTTTAAAGTTAACTCTTAAATTGCCACAAAAATGAACTTTATTGAAGTTGCAATGAAATTGTAAGTTAAGTTGAAAAGTATAGAGAGCCATACAATAGTGAATCTTCTGAGCTATGGAAAGGTAGATATACTCATTATTTGTTTTTTAATAGTTCTCAAAGAAGCTTCACTTTTCTTCATATAGGTTAAACACTGAGGTTTATTCCTAGTTACTTCACATGTTTGTTACTGTCATGAATGATATAAAAACACTATACATTCTATTATGTATTGATCTCACCTACCATGTCCTTGTTGAACTTTCTATTAACTTAATAATTTGTACAGAGATTCTCACATGTTCATTACAGAGGAAATCATGCCAACTGAGAGTAATAACAAGTGTATTTCTTTTATTACAATTATATACATCCTCCTTTTGAAGAAAGACCTGCTTTAATCAAGATAATACTTGATTCAACAAATAAAGACTTTTCAATTTGTCATAATTTCTATGCAGTATGACAGGTTCTGCACGCATGAATGTGAGAATAACAAAAATGGTTGTCATGTCAAGTGCAGTAGATTGATATTTTGGGAAAAGTCTTCTGTCTCTAGCCCAGGGAAAGTTCTTGACCTCTGGGGACAGGGAAAGCAACTCTCAGAGAAGGTTGTTTACCAGCTCAAGGGAGAGATAGGAATCTGTCTTGCTATTAGCTCTCCTTAGCACACTGGCCTGCTGCCTGCCTTTGTTGCTTTATTTTAGTTTTGAGTGGTGGTGGAGATTGAACCCAGGGCCTCAAATGCTAAGCATGGACTTTGAACTTTGTACCCCAGTTCTGCTGTCTTTTTGGTTTTTTTTTTTAAATGGCTGTGAAGTATGAATGGATTTTACATGTTTAAAGAATGAAAAAGGAGCCAAAAGACTATTTTATGGCATGAAAATTGTGTGAATCTCAAAATTTTTTTTTTGTCTGTAGGAACTGATCCCATCCATATTTTCCCCCTATTTGTGGCTCTGCTTCTTGATATAAAAATTCAATAGTTGTAACAAATTGGACTGTGTGGTCTATGAAGCATAAATGGCAGACTTTGGCCACCAGGTTATGATAAATCTGGTAGATTTACTTCTGAGATAAGGTCTCACTATATGCTAAAAGTTGGCCTTATAACTCAGAGATCTGCTTGCCTCTGCCTTTGCTGGGATTAAAGGCATATACTACCACATGAATTTGATAAGACATCAACTTAATGGGATCTGTCATTAAGGAGGAAAAAGAGAGAAAGGCGTTTGCCTAAATTTCCTGTTTGGGAAGTATAATTTGTGGAAAGGGGAAACAAAACAAAACAGCAACAGAAAGAAGCACCTTGTATTTCGAAGACTGCTGCAGGGTCACCAAGGAGCTAGAGGCAGCTCTCTCCATGAAAGATAGGACACACAATGAGAAGAAGGCAGGGCCCAGCAAAATACCTTTTAAGATACCAGTATTTAAGGACTCCATAAAATGAGCGTCAAAGCTGGATGCAGGGGCTGGAAAAATGCCCCCCCCCAGTCAAGGGCTCATACTGCTCTTCCAGAGGCCCCAACATTTCCCTTCTCCTCCAATGGGTAGTTCACAATCACCTCTAACTCCAGCTCCAGGGCATCTGGCGCCCTCTTCTGGTTCCCAAGAGTACTTGTACCCAGTGC